CAAAGTATTTGAAGTGTATTTTATTGGACACAATTAAGGGCTATAATTACAGGAGCTGGGTCATGTTACTATTTTTATCTTCCATAATTTAATAAATGCTTCACTGAAGGATTTTCCTCTTAAAGAAATGCAAATCCTACAAATGGCAGATGATTACCAGGAACAGATCTATTTCCCTATCAATAATATTACTCTAATGTTACTACTCAATTTCCCTCACAAGAAGCACTTGGTCAACTGTAATAGGTTCTAACTATGAAGCAGACAGCCTTAAGATGCATCTTTTCTCTCATCGCCCTGTGGCTATACTTATCCTCTGAGCTACAGAAAGCAAATGTACATTAAGGCTTGTCAATTATCTTGGTTCTAGTGCTCAGGTTATAGATGGCAATCCACCAGTGCTGTTAACATTTTAACTTACTTGGTCACGCTGAATGAAAAGTTCCCCTTACCAATCCTCAGGTAGCAGTTACTAGGTTGATACCCAGTTGAACTTCTTGACTCACAACAAAAGGCCATAATACCCCACATCATCTCTAGGAAGCCAATGCTAATTCCTGACTTCACTCTGTATGAGAGGGTTATCATGACTGCGTTTACAACTCGGACATTTGAGAAATAGAAATACTGGACCATAGTACGTGAACTTGAGACATCTGGATACGTGACAAGTCACCGATTTTGTATCATTTGCCGTGAGATATTTTTTTCATCCATGTGAATTGAAATGCTGGCCATCACACAATACGGCTTCACTGGGCTAGGCACACAAACTCCAAAGACTTAAGAGAACTTATGGGAACCAACTGCCAATAGCCAAGCCAGACAGGAACACTCTTAGAGATGCAATCAAGCATTCTTTCAAACAGTGTGGGAGGTGAGCAAGAAGCTTCTGCAGAACATCTTGGAATGTAGTAATGAGGAATGTGGTGACATCTTGAAAAATGGATTTAGCCAACCACAGGCCCCAAAAAGGCAATAATTATAAACAATGACAACCTCTGGGAACAACAGTCACAGCCACAAATTCAAGCTCTCTCTTCAAAGAGCTTCATTTTAAGCTTCAGATCCCCAAATAATTGCCATGATTAGCATAACCTTTGAATATAAAAGCTTTTTTTCTAACATATGATATAGACCATTATTTAAAAATATATACATATAGGGTGTCCCGAAAAAATATATACACACTTTGAGTAATTATTAAGTCAGGTTTATTAAAATACATTTCACTTTTAAAATGTAATAGAAATCAGTTCTTAAAGCGGGCATACATTTCTTTGGAGACACCCTGAATATTGGTTCTTCACAGTATTGTGGGCCGTTTGTACAAGCACACACGAATCTTTTTTTTTTTTTTTAATCTTTTAAATGAAATCCCTAGAGAAGGTTCTTGCATTGACCCTATTGGAAAAGCCTGAGAGATTTGGGGAACATGGTAAAGAAATGAGCGCTGTTGTGTACAAAGAGTATGGTTGGACTTTTCATATCACACTCTATATTTTTCTTCTCTCTCTCTCTCTTTTTGTCAGAAACGAGCAAGTCCCCTTAATGATGTTATAAGGGAAACAGGGTGCTTTACACAAAGTACAACTTGTAGCGGGAAAATGCATTCACCTTGTGTTTATGGCCAAGGCCAAGGGTCAAAATGAAACTCATGTCCGGTGTGAACTGAAATAACCAAGAGGTTGCATGTGCAGTGCATTTTTATGTTTTCTGGAAGTTTGTTTTAAGACAAAGAACATGTTTATTAACAGTTCAGTCTTTTCAGGGGACTAAATAAGGGCTTAAAGACAATGATGAGATTTCTGTCTATGTGTGCGTATCAAGGGAAACACTGTTTTGCCTTCTCGACATCAGTTCTAGTATGTCTTTGCTGAACAAGCAACAAGTTGGTGGTAGCTATTACCCCAAGTGGCTTCCAGATGTTAGCCATGTGACTGAGCAGAACTAGTCCCTGACAAGAGTGGCAAGAGAGAGCAATTGTTACTATATTCAGCGATTTTAATAACCATGAAATACTCTTTCTCGTCTATCAACTCCACCTGCACAATGTAAAAAAAAAAAAAAAAAAGAAACCTACATAAATAGCAATTTTTTTAATGGGAAAGGGGAAGATTTAAATCTATATAACATATGTGAATCTACTCTTTTTAAAAAAAATAAAAAAATAAATAACTAAGTTAATGTATGCTGGTTACTATTTATTTTCTAATGTTTTAATTTTTTAGATTTTTAAATTTTATGTCTATGCTGGATAGAAAGGAATAAACATTCTTACAGTCTATGTTAAGATATTAAAAGCCCTTTTAATGTTTTACATAGTTTAGGTAAAAACTGTCATTAAATTGTTTTCAGCCTGAGTTGAACATGAGTGCATTTTTTGTGAAGTAAAATAAATAATTCATACTTTTGCAAGTAAAGGTATGTACTTTTTCTGGCTTTCTTGAAATTATATTTCAAGTGCCAACATACTTCATGGGTGGCATTCCTCACTGAGAAGCAAGACAGGAATCGATATTTTTACTACAGTCAACCCACTTGTCTTCGTAAACAAGATATTGTTAATGTTTGTCCACTTAGACTTCAATGTTAGCAAGAAGAATACGTAAATTGTTAGAAGAGAGAAATAAATTACACAGTTTTTTAAAGATCATCATTGGTACAAACTGAAGCAAGAAGTTGAAATAGTCAATTGTGGTTCCAAAAGCTTAGGTTTCATGTGTTCTAAAAAATGTAAATTATTCAGTAGATGGTTTGTTCATCTCTTGTACTTTTCCTATTGACACAGGTGTAGTTAGTGATATTTCTGAACATCTTTTATCTATTATGCATCCTATAATGACCATGTAAATATAAACTAGTGGGAAACATGGGAGAAAAATTACGTGAAAATTATCTTCACACACACACATCTGCAGTCTGCTTTCTAGTAAGAGAATACTTACTAAGGACTAAGCACAGTGGCAACATTAAAGAAAAACTCCTTATTTTTTGTTGATTGTTTTAGGCCCATTGTATGAGAGTGGGGAATGGGAAAGACAGAAAAGTAAATGATCAAATGTACAACTGTTGTAGAGCAGGTATAAAGGGCATTTGAGCCCAGATCAGGAAAATCTTTAAGATCCCAAGAACAGAGGCAATGGCTATGTTAAAGTTTATAATCTCACATAACCATTCCTTTCTAAAGCATTTAGTTCTGTTTTATACGAATTCAGGACCTTTAAGTTTTTTCCTAGTCGGTTTTTACAAATGGACAAGGGGAATGTATAAAGAAACTTACATTGTCAATTTATAAAATTTTTAAAAATCTAATGCTGGGCATTTTACCCAATGTATACCTATTGTTTATGTACTGTCCATGTGTTTCTCTGTCCCTTTGAATAATGCAACAGATAAAAACCAATGGCCTGGATGGTGTGGCTCAGTGGTTGAGCATTGACCTATGAACCACAAAGTCACAGATTGATCCCCAGACAGGGCACATGCCAGGGTTGCAGGCTGGATCCCCAGTAGGGGGCGTGCAGGAGGCAGACACCTGTTGATTCTTTCTCCTCATTGATGTTTCTATTTCTCTCTCCCTCTCCCTTCCTGTCTGAAATCAATAAAAATATATTTTTTAAAAGAACAACCAATGGAGAGGATACAATTGGATGCTCAAAAATGAGGAAAACAACTAATGGATAACTGTGCAATGTCTGCATGACTAACGTGATTTCATTTAACTGCAATCATTTGAAAATACCAAACATTTGCTATCTAAGTGGCTAATATTTCAATAACTTATTTAAGGCAACAAGTGTGCCCTAAAGGATTTCTAAACACATAGTATAACAGCAAACTAAACTCTGACCCTGACATTTATATGTTTAGATCCCAACAGATATTGAAACTTTTGCAAAAAGGGAGACTTTTCTGTTTTGTTTTTATTTTGTTTACTTGATTCTCTGAGTTTAGACATTCAAGTTAGCAAAAAGAAGTGCAACCATAATGGGCACACAGACTGGCTCAAAGCAAATGAGCAACAACAAAATAATTAAAAGATACACAAAGAATAAAAGAATGTACCAATAAAAACCTTCCAGGGATAATTTTCCCCCCAAGTTCAACAGGGCAAAAGATCCACCATAAAAGAAGCAAACAACCATCCTGAAACTTAATTACATTTCAAAGTACTGCAGTCACATGAAAGGAACAAAACATTTTTGTTCGATAGTTTGCCTACCAGATGGCATTTCTAAATATAGTCATCTAAAACCTTCTGTTTGTTCTATAAATAAAGATGAAAGGAATAGCAACAATAGCTAAGCATTTAAATCACTGGAAATAAAAGAGCACTTTGATTAGTTTGGAAGAATCTGGCTTGATGCTAATAATGATCCTGAATCTGGGAAGGCTCAAGTTCAAGGTGAAACTCAGAATCTCAACCTTCAGGTACTGCTCAAACAGGTGGTCACGGTGATGGAGGAGTAAACCAGGAACTAACACCAGGAGAATTGGGGGCATCTGAAGAAACACCGGAACTCCTAATCGACAGAGATTCTAAAGGGCCACAGTCCAAATTCCAGAAGCTTTGTTTTGCTTTTGTGTTTAAATAACATAGTTGGGACGTGTCTTGTCTTATTTTTGTGAGCTAATGTGTAAATGCGGGTACCAGTGAAGGACCTGAAGTCTGGAGTCAGATAGGCCCTACGTGTGGAGTCCAGACTCTACAAAGGACTGGTAGGATGACCCTCAGTCAAGTTCTTTATCTCTCTGAGCCTCACTGGCAAAAACAGATAGTAACAGTTCAGAGTTTTATGGGATTTTACTTAAAATGCTTCTTGGCACCTCGAGTATGCAATGAATGTCAGTTGCTTATTATTATTACCAGCAATCATAATAAACACAGCTGTGAGGGAATTGTTTCTGATTTTTTGCTGTCTCAAAGGCATGGAGTCATGCACAGCAAGGTTTGCCGGCAGTAAACAGGGTTCTAAGAGTAGAACTTAAAGCCTTACCTGGCCTGTCTCCATGTGGCCTGAGTACAGCACTACCCTCTTCTCACCTGGCTCTTGGAGGTTAACGAGATCCACGTGGGAAAGGCGGGTCTAGAGAGAGAAGAATTATTGTGAGAATTCATCATCAGCGCTCAACCCAACCCAGCCTGTCCTCCTTAATGACTTCACTCTCAAGATCTGTAGGTTTTAGTGAAAGGACTCAAAAAGCTCCTGTTTGAGCTGGATATCGAATGGCATGTGAATTCCCATCCACAGCATTGGTATTGTAGTGGGATAGCATAGAGCAGCCGTGGGCAAACTACGGCCCGCGGGTCAAAAACTTTGCCCACCCCTGGCATAGAGCTTATCTTGGCAACCCACCCAGGATGATAAGCAGTTCAGCCACTTGGGAGTAGGGTGATCACCTTTAACCAAAAAGGTAAGTTTTAACTGCTTAAATATGATGTAGATGACAATGAATGGAAGTCAGGTGTTTAATAGCACTTAAAGGTCCACTGGGTTGTTTAGAATTTTACACAAGGTAAGAGCCACCTGCTAGGCTAGGGCTACAACACTCAGTATTAAAAGATGTCTGTGGTTAGATATTTATATAGAAAGTAATTCTATTTGGGGGGAAGGAGTGCTTTTATAAAATATGATAATATATACATAACATTAAATTATCCATTTGGCCCAACCATTGTGGCTCAGTGGTTGAGCCTCAACCTATGAACCAGGTGGTTATGGTTTGACTCCCAGTCAGGGCACATGCCCAGGTTGCAGGCGCGATCCCCAGAAGGGTACGTGCAGGAGGCAGCCGATCAATGATTCTCTCTCATCATTGATGTTTCTATCTCTCACTCCCTCTCTTCCTCTCTGAAATCAATAAAATATGTATTTTTAAAAGTTATCCATTTGAACCATTTTTAAGGATATAGTTCAGTGGCTACAGCCATTAAGGAGTAGCTCCCCATTCTTCCCTCCCCTCAGGCCTTGGTAACCACTACCTTACTTTCAGTCTTTTATAAAAAACTTTCTACGATAGATACCTCATGTAACTGGAATCACACAATATTTGTCCTTTCATGACTGGCTTACTTCACTTAGAGTAATGTTTTCAAGGTTCACCTACGTTGTAGCACGGATCAGAACTGCATTCCTTTTTAAGGCTGAATAATATTCCATGGTATGTCTATACCACATTTTGTTTTCCATTAACCCATGGATGGACATTTGGGTGGGTTATTGTGAATAATGTTGCCATCAACACTGGTGTACACGTATCTGTTTGCGGCCCTGCTTTCATGTTCTTTGTGTGTGTTTTTCTTTTTGTTTTTACATCTCGAAGCGAAATAAGATCGTATGGTAATTCTGTTTAACTTTTCGAGGAGCTGCCAAACTATTTCCATAGCTGCTGCACCATTCTGCAATCCCATCAACAATGCGCAGGATTCCAAGTTTTCCACACCATGGAAATGGCCTACATTTATTTTCCATTTCTTTCAATAATCCACGGGTGAGAAATGGCCCCTCTTTAAATTAGATTTGCTTTGTAAACTATTTTTTTAAAACTATACAAAGAGTTATTATTATATGGCTATTGTATCCCGAGTATAAATAACTAGCTAGCTTCATCTTGTACAAGCTCCAAAGTAGAAGGTAAGATATGCGGATACCTGTTCCATTTTAAACATATGAACACCGATATATTCCCAAACAAAACAAAACACAAAAAAAATCCTGAGTTTAGGATTTCAGCTTAAAATCCTACAGCCAAATATATATATATACATATTCCTTGCCCTCACCGAAACTGTCTCCTTTATAAAACCATTCTTAGCCAAAAAGCGAACTCACAGCATCCACAGAACTGCTGGCTGCAGACTTGACCCAGAGGCGGGACAGCGCCAGGCCTGCCGCGCATGCGCGTTTGCAGGCGCGCCTCGCCCCCAGCCCCGGCGCGTGCGTGCGTACGTGCGCGCGCGCGGGCACGTCGGACGCCGGAGAGGCGGGGCCTGCGGGACTCGGGGCGGGGCTGCAGCCATGGCGGCCGTGTCGGGGTCAGTTCGCCTGCAGCGCTGCGTGGTGTCGCCGGCGGGGAGGCACAGCGCCTCCCTCATTTTCCTGCACGGCTCAGGTGGATCCCAGTTTTACGTTCTTGTTTCCTGCCCCTTGGGAGCACCCTCTCCGCGGCCCCCGCACCCTGCCCCCCAGTGTTTCCGCCGCCGCCGGAGCCAGCGCCGGGCCCGCTCCCCCATAGGGCCCGGCGGACTCGGAGAGGGCGGCTGCCCCTCGGTAGCTCCGCTTCCGTGGACACACGAGCAGCGTGGTCACCGGGCTCCAGGAGCCCCCCTTTGCCTTCCTTTCTTCCCTGTTGGGGATCACTGGCCCCGCGTCCTGGCTTCCGGCCTAGGCGTCCAGCCCTCCGTCCGCAACACGTGTCCGCGAGGGATTGCGGGTTCCAGCAGCAGTGGGTTCCCTGCCAGGTCTCCCTCTGGCCTCCCACAGGGATGTAGGCCATTGAGAATCACAGTTTTCGTAAATAATTTTTATTCATCTCTTTCCTGCTTCCCCCCCACTTCCTTTCCCAACCCCTTCACCACCATCCCCCCCTTGCTGTCACCAAGCACCCCAAGGTATAGCACAAAGCCAAGTCCGCCTGCCTTTGGCATCGTGTCCTTCATTCTGTAGGTTTCTGAAACTCCTGGGTAATTCACACTCATGTCTGTCCTCCCCTCTGGATGTGGAGCTTTTCGGGGAGTAAGGACCCTTGTTTTTAGTCTTTGCGTCCCTAGTGCTTGGCCCAGGGTAAGCTCTTGGGAGATGGTGGTTAGTTTTGGGGTTTTGTGTTTTTTGGGGGTGTTTTTTTTTGGGGGGGGGGCTTGTTTAAGAAATGAGATGCAGCCATGCAGCCAGTGTTCGCAGGGGGCCGCCTGCCTCAAAAAACAATTCAATTCAATTCGTTTGAGTCAGCTGTGAAGGTGGGAGGGGGGAGGTGGCACAAGATGGTGCGTGGTTTACTGCCCAGGGAGTTGCGAGGGGAAAGCTGCGGGTTGGCCCTTTTTTAAAGGCTTTTGGAGGGTGAAGGGCTTTGTGCGATTTGGCTGGGAACGTGGCCTTGGAGCTGAGACTTCGGTCGCCTTCAGGGGGATGGTGGCTGGATGGCGGAGGCCTGGGAACAGGCCGGGGTGCCAAGGCTTGTCATTTTGGAAATGAGTCTCAGGTGGTTGAACAGCTGGCCCCGGGTCACCTGGATGCTATCACCTTTAAGTAGTGGAGGAGCTGGGGCTCCAACAGAGAGCTGCCTGGGGCCAGGATCAGTGTTCTGGAGAGGTAAGGTGAAACACACACGCACAGAAATTGAACTAGGACAGTGGTTGGCAAACTCATTTGTCCACAGAGCCAAATATCAACACTTACAACGGTTGAAATTTCTTTTGAGAGCCACATTTTTTTAAACTTAAACTATATAGGTAGGTACACTGTTATTAACTTAACTAGGGTCCTCCTAAGGCTTAGGAAGAGCCACACGCAAGGGGCCAAAGAGCCGCATGTGGCTCGCGAGCCGCAGTTTGCGGACCACAGATAGGATGTTTCGTTTTGGAAACAGAAAAGGGCCCACGACATTTAAAGGGAAAGATTTGACTGATGGAGCATAATTAGAAGGTGAGGTGTCTCAAGGTAACAGGTGGGCGACTACTACTAATTTTGCTCAGGGCTCCAAGGGTATCCACGGATGAGCACCCAGAAACCCCCCAGCACCATACTCCTTTTCGTAAGTTGATTATTTTAGTGTTTTTAGGTCACACTCCTAGGCTTTGGTTCTGTTTTTCCTTGGGCCAGTTTGCTTAAATGAACTATTCTTAGCTTTTTATTCAGTTTCAAGATTGATGACATTTTAAAAACTTGTAGTTTTATAGCTCTGAAAACTTGTAACTATATAGCTCTGAGTTGTCCATTGTGTGTGTGTGTGTGTGTGTAGTGTGTATATATATGTGTGTGTGTTTTTCCCTTTGTACTTAAATAATTTAACCAACGAGTTCTGCCCATTTTACAACTAAAATGCAATTTCTGTACATTTTGAGCTCCATTTAGCGAATAAAACTCTTATTAGGAGTATGATTTTACATTGAACTTGGGTATTTGTGGTTATGGGATAGGAGATGTTTGGCTTCTGGTTAATCCAAATATGGGTAACCCAGTTTTAATAGCTTTACCATGCTCTTGGAATAAGGTGCTGGCTTAAAAGGGGGACTTGGCGACTGGGTGGATGGATGGGTGTTGTTCTGTAGCATTCAGCTTTGCTTTTCAAGGTTGATGAAAAGAATTTAGAGGCACATTTCCGGTGTTTTGTTTTGTTTTAAGAGTTGGAGGTTCTCTTCTAGAATACTTATGGCAGCCATAGAAGGAATGGGAGGGAGTGGAAGTTATATAAAGCCAAATCAATTTAAGCCTTTCCTGCTGCTAAAATACCAAAGAAGTACTTTTTCTCAGGACGATGAAAACAAATGATAGTTAACTAGCTTTGTTCAGCTTCCCAGATGACATTAATACACTGTTATGTATTTCCTTAGGACACTGTAGTTCAGTGATTTTCATGATATCTGTAATGACCTATTTTAGTGTCTATATTCCACACTAAGTTACAAGGTTCATGCAGGCCCAAACTGTGCATGTCTTGCTTTCTCCACATATGGTCATGTTACGTCACTGAAACCCCCGATTCTTGCGATCTCCCGGGAGAGAGAGCACCAGAAACGAATGCAGAGCCTGGTACATTGTCTGAGAATTGAACCCAGGCCTTCCCGGTCACAGGTGAGAGTCCTACCACTCTCACGCTGGGTTCTTGTTATTGCCCAGAAGAGAAGTCAGAAGAGCTCACCGGAAACCAATGTAGAGAAAGGAGGTTTACTTGTGCACAAGGAAACCAGCACCACCAAGGGAAAGAACACGGCTGCTCCCCGAACAAAGGCAGGGAGAAGTTTAAAGGGGCTTAGGTGGGGAAAGTGACGGCTAAGGATGTAGAGGCCAGGTTTGTCTGGGGCTTGTGCAATGTGACTACATGCTTCTTTTTGTGTCACGTGTCTCGGTACCATGTTATATCTCCACCCAGGGGTATTTTTCTTTAGCAGTTCAATGAGTGGAAGATCAGGAAAGGATAGTCTTTCTTGCTAGTGTTCATGTGTGAACAAGGGAAAAAAAACTTAATTTCCGTCCCCACCCCACCCCCTGCCAAAAAAACACACACAAAATAAATGTTACAGGCAGCAGTGTACTTCAGTCTGGTGATGATTGGTTGCAAGGAGAAGGGAAGGTCTTGGCTTCCTGCCAGCTGGGCCCAGGGAGTAGCCTGCCTATCTCAGTGAGCCTTGGCCAGCCGATTGGGTTGGCTCTTCAAGTTCCCAGTGTTGCTAAGTAATGGACATTTTTCAGCCTACTCTTATTTGAACTGTCAGCAGCATTCGGCTTTCTTGAAACGCTGTCCTGGTTCTTTCTGCCTCTGTTCGCTTCTTCTGGTTTATTTTGCAGCCTCGTCCTCCTCTGGCTATTAATGTTGAGATGCCTCAATATCTGGTCCTAGGTTCTCTTCTCATCCTACATTTTTCTCCCTGGGCTAACCTCCATACAAGCCCACAGATTCTATTTTTACCTAAATACAGGAAGCACAGATGTGCATCTCCATTTTAGGTCACAGTTGAGCTCCAGACATGTTTCCCCAATAGCCTAGTAATCACTAGTTCGTTAATCCACTCATTCAAGAAATAGCTGTTACATGGCCACTCTGTGCAAGGACTGTTCTCAGCTCTGGGCGCACAGCAATGAACAAGGCAAACAAATCCTTGCTCCCCTGGAGTTTACAGGAGGAAATATATAGTAGGAGATAGTACATTCTATTTAAAAAAAAAAAAAAAAGCAAGAATAAGGAGTAGCTGCTCCATGCGTTTCCTGTCTCTGCACTATATTGTTCACCAGGTGTCCTGGCCAAAAGCCTCACCGTCAGCCTTGAAACCTTTCACCATTGACACCCCCCCCCCCATATCTTGCCAATTTCGGTTAATTTTAGCTCCTAATATCTCTAGTTCCTAATTCTGTATACTCCACTGCTGTTCCCCTCGTCTAAGTATCTGTCACCTGAACAGTAGCCTCTGAACTGGTCTCCCCCATCTCCTTTTGTCCTTCATTTCTGTCTTCACAGTTACCAGGGTGATCCTTAGAGGCAAGCCACCTTCCTGCCCAAAAATATGTCTGGCTTCTCTATGCGCTCAGGATTTGTCAGGTGCCTTCAGCTTCTCTAGCCGCATTTATTTTCTTATAATTACAGCTTTATTATATGGTGTAAGGATACAAGTTAGAACCGGCCAAAAGAAGAGCTGTATCGGGAAAGCCTGGGAGGGTTCTAAACCTGAATCTTTTGTCATCCTCAGTAATGAATTAACTCCCAGCGCTGAGGTATGACAATACTCAAAAGAATAATGTCACAAAGGGAGCTTCACCTGAGCCTTTTATCCAGAGTTTTTATTTGGGTTTTATTGCATAGACATGATTGATTTGGCGTTGAACTCAAATCTCCAGCCTCCTCTAGTCCCTGGAGGTCAGACTGATATCATATGGTTCAAAGCCCCAACCTTCTAATCACATGGTTGGTCTTTCTGGCTGGCCAGCTCCCACCCTGAGTCATCTTAGTGAAGCTATCCTGTGGTTTGCGGGCCTTTCCATGAATAACAAAGACACTCTAATCGCTCAGGAAATTCTAAGGGTTTAGAGGTTACCTCTCTCTTAGGAACTGGGGACAAAGGCCAGCCAAACTCTTTATTACAGTTATTGTTAAATGGGTGTCTCTAACCTCATCTCGCATTCACTGCTCTTCCTTTCATTTCCTGCTATTCAGTGCTTAGATGGCTTACTGCTCCTTCCTCCGGAGGCTCTTCGCGTTGGCCTTATGCTGTATCT